AAATCCACGACGAAAGGAAGTTTAAAGCATGTGGAAAATATGCTAGAAGAAGCTTTGGCGCAAAGAAAGCATTCTGGAATCTGGCTAGTTAATTATGGTGAAGTTATTAGCGATGATTTTAACATGTTGCCCTATAAAAACCCAGAATTCGTCCAAAGACTTGTGGTTTTAGGATTTCGTAAACATTTCCTTGGACATTTCCATGAGAAATCTTAAAGACAAGGCGTTTTACTCACAAATATAGGTATATACCTAAGTCCTATTCTTGATGCAACTTCCACTTTTACTTCCTGATGCAGAACTAAAAGCTCTAAACGTGAAAGTGAGCCTGGAGAGAAGCTTTCAACATCTTGAATCTCATCGCTTGAGCAGCTCAAGCGCAGCTCAGTCGCAAGAATTAATTTCATTTGCATTGAAATATCATTATCGTGAGCATTTTGCAAATATTTGCCAGTGAGGAATTGAAATAAATGGCAAATCTTGCAGGATGGCAAATGGCCCTCATTTCAGGAATGGCAGACAGACAAAAGGACGTCTGGGGAGGATTTGAAAAAGTCGGTTTGGGGTGAAGTGATGGGTTTTGCGGATGCAGAAATTACCTTCAAATGTCACTTTGCATAAATACATACGACTTTAATAGACGGAAGCCAATGGCGTTGAGCAGTTTTGGGGCCACACGGTGCTTCTGTATCGCCCTAATACGCCAATAAATGCAAATATGTTTTGCTATCATCGTCATGGCAAATAGTGCTCTCACTCTCCTCACTCACTCTCTCTCTCTCTCCCTCTCTTTAGATCATCCACGGGCGAGATATGAAATTGTAAAGATTTGCATTTGCAATTTTCCCACATCAACCTAACGGCCGCCACCCTTTTCGGCTTTCGCCTCCGGGGCTCGGCGTATTATAGACACGTTCACACCATATGATCACGCCCACCCCCGGGCCAGAAGCCCGCTTGCAGGATATATCGCAGCGATGCGACACAATTTGCCAATGCATTTTGTGCAGTGCATGAAAAATTGGCCCTTCCGACGCCAGGAAAACCCCCTTTTTCAATTTGCCAATATCGCCGACGAAAGGCGCTTTTGGGCGCTCTTTTTGTCCCTGACTGATGCGATTAATGGTTGTCCGTGGATTTCCGCTGACATGTCCTAGGACACTCCCAAATGCCAATTGAAGATACTAATTTCTTCCATGTCACCAATTTGTTTCGCCATCTTCAGCTGTGGGGAGGAAAAAAATGACGTGCGACAGAAAAATTGAGATTCATTGCTATTCTTCTCATTCAATGAAATTTCCTGAGTCGCTTTGTGGTATTCATGTTATTTGTTTCCTCTTCTGTGGCCCGAGGAGAGACGAAGAGAGAGATGGAGGGAGAGAGAGAGTGAAGAAAAAGTGGAGCACAAAAAGCTTGGCGCACGAGGGGAGGACAGAAATCCAAATTGACAAGCCTCGAAAATGCCACTGAATTATGTACATGGCAGAAAAATGTGACATTGCGAGTACGAAGGCGTTTAGCACGTAATTTTTGCATGAATATCTTTCTACATAGTCGAAGCTTTTGGCGCGCGGTGAGCATGCCGAAAAGCTCTCTCACACGCAAAAGCCACGCCAGAAATTCCGCCCCGGGGACAAAAAATCCCGTCACGCCAGTGAAAAGTTAAATTGACATTTCCACCCAAAAAATGATCTCGTTTGGCAGAACGTGCGGCTTCTCTGTAAAAATCAAATTCAAATCAATCTGAATGCGTTCGTGCAAATGTTATGTAATTTTTTGACATTGCGGCTCGTTGAAAGAAAAATTGATTTCACAACAGATGCAAATCCCCTCGCGGAGAAGTGTCATCGGTTTAGCGCAATGATTAGGAACACGCGCGCTTTTAAGGATGACAACTCATTCCCAGATAAACTCAGCAAACAACCATTCTGGCTGAGTTCATTTAAATTCAGCGAATTCGCCCGCAACTGGACAATGTTTGCAACAGTCGGTTTGCGGGCAGACGGGGTGGACTGGTCGCCAGATGGCCTCCCGCGAGGACATGCAACCGTGGTCAACCACGCCTCTTTGCTGTTCGCAGCGCTGCAGAGGCGATGGGGTGGTTAGATGGTTAGGAACTTCGGGAATAAGCATTGAAAGCGTAATCTTATTAGGCAAAAAAGGCTAAAATGTGCATAAATAGGACATGTCTGCTTAATTTCTGCGAATTATGCAGGAAAATCTGCATCCATTTCCTATGAAAGTCATCAGATGTTCCTGATCAAGTCTTTAGACGTTCCATAATCGGGTAATTTTAGACGTTGATGATATTTTACAGCTTTTTCTATCCGTTTTTTTATATGGGAATGTGATAATTCGTCTAAATATCTCTATATAGATTCGTGCTCATATGAATTCATCCGCCAACGAAAGCCAGGGAGCAACATTGAATTCCATCCCTTGGCTTTTGTCACTCTCAATGGCAATAATCTCACTGTGTGTGCGTATCTGCACTCGCCAATAATGCGTGCAATTTCCTCTCAGTCCATTTGGTCGATTGAATAAATAATCAATTATTGGCGGAAGGACGTCACCCTCGCGCTGAGGACCCCTTTGTCTGCCACCCTCCGATGCATGCGCTGCATCCGAAAGTAGGTCCGCATGCCCCGGATCATCTCGTCCGCCCTGCGGCGTCGGGAAATCCCATTCAATTTGCTCTCCAGTGAGAAAGTCATCTTTTAATCACATTAGCAGTCTTCGCGATTGAAACACGGGCCAAGATGCAGAGTCTCGATTTATATTCGCCATAATCAAATTTATAAATATGAACGAGCACTCCATGGGGTGGCCTCTTGAGCGCTTTTCCTTTGATACGCCGCGCACAGCAGAAACTCGAGGGCTCTCCTTCGTGCCTTACCCATGGAAATATTCCTTGAGTGGAAAGTTTTGTCTGGAAAAACTACCTTGCATGTAAACTTATTATTGCCAAGGGAAAAATTTCTCTGCGCGATGGGAAAAACTTACAAAGGCAGAAATGTATTTGATGTGCGTGAAGGTGGAAAATTCAAATTCAATTTCATTAATTTGTCTCTTTAAAGGCTCAACCCATCGTCTAAAATTCGGAAACATTGAAATCATGAAGCGCACAAGGAATAAAACTTAAAATATATTTTCGCCGAAAAACCCAGTATAATTTTTGCCTCAAACTGTGCTGAAAACTCTGACGATGGAAGTCCTTGAGAAGAAGGAACTTGTTGGGAAAGTGAAGAAATGCTGAATTTTCCAGTCTGCTGATTTGGCAAATTTAATTCAAGTGTGATAAATGTGTAATTTGCTAAAAAGAAAATTTGCAAGACAGACTCTTGCAAACACAAAACTACACAAATGAACAATTATTGAATTATAGAGTGTCTCGAGAGGAAGTTCCAGCTGGAGAACTTCATCACGGAGAGTATTTTGGTCAAATGAGCGAAAATTGACAATTTTGCGGATGCTCGGATGGCAAATTGTGAGAAAATGCCGATATTTTGAGCTATACTGGGAAATTTGGTTAAAAGTTTCACACTGGAATCACACAGAGATATTCAAAACTAAAGGGATGAACTGGTGTTTGCACTCAAGCAAATCCGATAGCATAGAATTGCACTCAAGCAAATCACAAACTTCTTGTGCAGTTAAGGTTTCTCCTAATCGATTTCGATGAATCTAAAGTGCATTTTGGCAGACAGAACAATTTCCTTAAACACTGTGTTGAAGTCTTGAGCTTCAGAGCTTCTATATTGTATTGACGCACTTAAAATAAAATACACATTTACCCCTTGCAAAAGCCGACTCTTGCGAATGACATCGATTCAATCTTCGCGCAACTGTTCTTTGTGTATTCTGCTGAGCAAATAAATTTCCCTGATTTATTCTTTCGCCTCGAGAAGCAGAAGATATTTCGCAAGACTGTATCGCTGTCTTCTGGAGGCGAGTGTTTGGTTTAAAAATGTAATTTAGTGCGAAATTGCCGTGTAAGAAGGTGTTTTTCGCCCTTCACGAACACTCTGTGCCACGAACAAACGACCCTTTTCACACACGCTCCCAAGCGCGAGCGGGTGGCTTTCGGGAGCACCCAGGGAGGGACGTTGGATAGACAAATCATCGCTGGAAGCTATTAGTCTGCCATTAACTGAATATGAATCAGCAGAAAATTTCGAACGCATTTAATTTTATTTCAAGCTGCGCGTGGAGAAAGAGAGAAATGATTTATTATTGTTTCTATACGATTTACATTAAACACAACTCAAACCGAAACAACCCACCCTCGCGCATCCCTGATTCGAGTGGACGTTTGCCAGAGACGCGACTTCATTACACGCCACGCAGAATGCAAAAGAAGATACATATTCGCCAAGAGAGCTTCCCTGTGAGATAGAAGCTTTCAATTATTGCAGACTCCGCCTCGTGCGCCATTCATTCTTTTGATTTTCTGCGGATATGACTTCACAATTCTTCCTCATTATATTTCTCTTCTTTCACTCCATTCACCATTCCCTAATTCGCTTCTTACACAAAATTTACCTTCCGCGCCGAGTTCATTCGCCTTCCACCTCAGCGTCTTTCTTTTCACCACACGCTGAATGCATCGATGAGCAGGAAAAGCGACTAAGGCTCGAAAATACAGGAACTCCGCAGGTGAACCTTTGTAGGTTCACCTTCAAGCTACAGCGCATTTAAAGTAAGAAAAGGAATCCACAGAAAAAATATAGAGAAGAAAGTTGCTTTCCGAGTGATATTCTATCTGTTTAACTGCATGATCGTCAGACTGATCAAACAGACTTGATAAAAATGCATTAAAAAACACTTGTTCAGCATTTGTAGACTTGACAACCATGCGGCAATAATAATTTAATTATATTATGCAACAATTGCCAGCAAAACTATCGATAAATATTGAATGATTCCAATTCAATTTGTACAATTGTTTGAAGCAATACTATAAAATCAGCATTAATTTAAATGATTCAGTTCAGTCTCATATCAGCTCTGATAGGAAAACATTCAATTAAAATGAGATTTATGGTTAGTGCAAATTTATTGACTGTGTCTTGTTTATTTCTCTCGGTCGCTTGCATGAAATCTGTCGATTTTGATGACAGAGATGATTTCATCATTGGAAAACGCGTGGAGTCCGGTAAGGAGCGTGAAGCTAGATTAGGAATTTTTTGTAAGATCAACCATTTTTATAGACGAAGAACTTTTCTACTCAAGCTTCGACTTGACGAAAAGTGGATGCCAGTCATCCAAATCATACGTTCCTTGCACCAACAACAAGACTCACTTCACCGTGAATTTCAAGGACACCAAGAAGAGATGCATTTCTTCAATTGAACTCTTTTCGTGGCCAGACAGAGAGCCTGTTCTGGGTGCTCCAAAGATCCCTTCGAAAAGTACAATCTTCTGTCAGCGCGGTGGCATTGGAAAGAGTTACTGCTTGTTGATCTTTAAGAAGAACGAACCACGAGAGGACGCAGAAGTTCACATCAGGGGAATGTCTAAACCCTGTTCATTCAAGAAACGCTACATTTCTGGCAATCCCAAGCGCACAGATGCTTATGGACTACAGTATAAGTTCGATAAAGAAGATTTTTGGAGTTTACCGAGAACTGGCGTAGAAAAATGGGAGAGAACAGGAAATGAAATCATTTACCGCAAAGACGGATTGCTAAACACCCAAATTACATATTTAGACAAGAGTGATAAGTTTTCCTCTGCTAAAGAACTGTTCGTTAGAGGCGAGAATAAGAAATTCATAATTAGATACCCGAACCTTAAGGATATCAGCTTTCTGGATGTCTATTGGTACCAGTCTTCGCAAAGTGAAAAACCTAAACTTCCCTATATTTACTACAAGGATCAATGCACTCCGGATTTGAAGCCTTGCGTGGTATTTGATGCCGTTGAGCCCATTACTTATGTTCTTGTGAAGGCGTTTACGAACAAAGATCATACAGAACCTAGACTTAGGGCAGCTGATTTGGGTCGAGGATAGAGAAAAGTATATTAATAAATGTCTTCCCAACACCCAATTTCTTTCAATTGTTCACAGAATTTCTCCAAAAATCTATTAAATGCCACTTTAACGACTCATGAGTATTTGCAAAATCATGAGCCTTCCCAACAGCATGAACTTCCCAACTGATTCTCACTTTAATGCCCAGCACAAATTCCTCGAGGCCTGTGAGACTTAAGTCTTGAGCAATGCAGCCTCGGGATGTGGGGCAATTTGTTGTTCCTGCCATAAATCCGTAATGAAGTGATACATCTGATATGTCAATTGAGGGGGCGATAAATCCATGTGAGTGGTCTTCATTGCATTAAGTGACCACTTCGACTGAAATATTTACACCCAGGTCCAGGCCTCCGAAGGCTCCGGGCCTTCAAACTCAATCCGGCCGGATTGATTGTCGGCCTCCGTGCGAGGCCGGAGGATTCGGCGTCATCGCCTTTGCATAAAATGTGGGTGCATCGAAAATGATTGCATAAACAATCTATTAATCATCAAAGTGCTCGGGAAGAGCCGGACCCCCTTGCAATAATGTTATACAGTGTGGCTGGGAATGTTGTTCTGTGCAGTTGTAGAGGCCTCACCCCCGATTCGGGGGTCGCTCACTCTCAATGTTGTGTGTGCAGAGTCATCCCCGGGAGCCGAGGAATGGGGCCGATGTCGATGTGGGAAATGGTGTGGTGGTTTCCGATAACATGCTTTTAATAATATCTCAATTTCCTGTTCATGCCACACAGAAAATCAGGGGAAGGGGGGGTGGGTGAGTGGCGGCCCTGCTGAAAACCACGCGGGGGGGGACGATAAAGTGAATATTTCATTTGGTTTTAAGCATAGCACACATACACACATCATTTTCCACACAAGAATCAGTAGAGTGAAAATTTTCATACCAATTTTAGGACCATTAAAAATCTCCCTGCGGCAAGCAAGGCTGCACTCTCTCTCGCCCCTTTGATTGGCCTTAGTGCTGGCCTGCGTTTTTACCCTCTCCGCATATCTGCATTTCAATATCTGATAATTGCCTCTCCCACGAGACCAGCGCTTTGATCGCTCCGGCGACTCCAATTTCATTAACAAACTGCAAGATGAGCAGGACTAAATGGCTGCGAAGCCTGGAATCTCGATGTGTTAACGCTCTTTGATTCAATCGAAGTGCATAAAGAGATTGAAAAACTTGAAGAATCCCATAAAAAATGAAGCAAGAGTTTGAGAAAACATCTGTAGTTAAGGTTGTCCTTAATCGATTTTAATAATCTTATATTCACTTGAAAGGTGCGAAAACATCCTAACAGACTGTTAATGTGAAGTCTTGAGCTTCGGACATTTTGTGACATCGGCATTTAATGGAATTTCCAACTTCTTTGTAAACAAATTGTAAATTTTGTTTCACACAATTAATGTGAAACAGACATTTTTGCTGCTGATTGAAATCTCTATAATCCGCTTGAAGTGCGATTTGGACGCATAGTGTGAAAAATGAAAAATTTGCAGCAAAAATCCCTCGGAAGAATCCATCACTTAGAAAAATGAAAGTGAAATCCCAAGATGTCCCGGAGTGTCCCTGCAGAAAAATTAATCTGGGGGAATGCGTAGAATGCCATTGGGTAGGAAATATGCTGAAAGCATAAATAAATAGTATCCCCATTTATAAATATTACAGACGATTTCGTCGTCCCTTTGCCAGACAATATAAATGTACACATGGTGATATTTATGACAAAATATCCATCAAAGTTGCTGTCATTCTTCGCCAACACCACAATGCATTCCGACCAATTTTCCCTCACCACCCCCTCAATGCATTTTAGCATAAAACATCTATAACTCATGATTCACTGCTGAGCTGAGAGAGGGTGGGACGACGCGCGAAGGAAGAGGGCGAAGACCCTCATGAGGAAACATGAAAGATGGGGCGACTCAACAAAATCATCATCAATCATTTTTTACACTCTCCAATCTTTGAATTCTTTAACGCATTTCAAATAAATATCCCTCCAGTGCGAGTTCCATTCTTCACCCTCGGCGCCCCTCCCCAACCTCCACGCCATCTGGGCGAAGCAAGACAAAACAAGTGGGGGTGGATATCAAAAGTCCTCAAGATAAATATTGACAAAAATCGCTTCTCCCGGGTTTTGGGGGTAGGATTTGGGACGCTGTGTGTCGGGGGGATTTATAATGTAATTTCCGCTGAAAGGTTATTTTAAAGAGGTTTGCAATTATTTACAGAAAATGCAATTATATTGAGTGACTCGAGGACATATTTATGGAAATCACTTTGAAATTGATTCAATGAGATAGACAAACAGAGTCACCAGCGAAGGATACGGTTTATTAATAAAAGAACAGAATGAATGACATTTCCACCTTTATTTATAGTAAGAATCATGAAGAGTAATTAAATAAAGAATATTTCGGGTGATATTTTAAGCTTATTTAATGAATTTCTCATATATAATGCAGTTGAAAAAATAACGAATGATGAGATTTTCCCACGTGAGCCGTTGAGTGGTCTAAAAATAAATATATTCACTTCAAATTGGCTGTCACAAATTGGTAAAAATAATAATCACGACTCAGGACGTTCTTTAAATATAATTTAAATCTTTTTGTCTGTGTTTCCTATTCATGAATCCTCTCACAATCGGATTTTCTTTTGGCATCCTTTTGTCGAGAGTATTTTACATACTTCTTCATCCCTTTTGCTGCACATTGCATAGCTCTAATAGATGGAAGTCTAGACTTAGTTGTGGTCGCATTTTCGCAACGGATTTGCGTCAATTGCGGTGTGTAACTAATATATTAATGAGTGTGGAATTAATAGAATTTCTGATCAAATGCTGCCGGCGGCCATGTAAATAATTAACAATCAGCTGTTGTAATTAGCAATGACAATTGTGGCCTAGATGAGGTTTTAAATACATTCCTCAATAATTCTCTAATTGATGAATTAAACAAAATTTAAATTTATAATATCCACTCCATGTTCGACTCTCGATAAACAACTGACCTTCTTTCACGACCATATCGACATATTCCGGGATTTAGGGGTGCATTTGTCGCTGTGGTAATAAATAAATTGATTGATTGTTTGATTGAATTATATACAACAATATATCCCCAGACTATTTGCATGGTCAAAGTCAATGGGGAGTGGCAATCTAGTAAAATGGGGAGAAATTCTGCTGTGTCGTTTAATTGATTTGATAAATTTCCACCCCCTCGAACTGCTCGGCATGTTGACATAAACACACGTTTCGGGCTTTTGATGATGATGATGAAAGGACAAATCGTCCTGCAGTTCGGGCTTTTTCACTCATGCTAAAATCAATTAAATTTGCTTCAAATTAATTTCCAAAGAGAGCCAAATGACTCTTATTCACTAACTTATTTGACTTGAAATATTAATCATCCAATTTCTCGAGAGGCTTCTCAATATTTGCAAAGTTTTTGATTCTGCAAAGTGTCTATATTAAACAAATTACATTATAGGGAACAAAAATCACACTTTGGTCTGCCCATCAGCTTTCCAACAATGTCTCACTTGGGCCCCTGGATTTTCAACATCTCCTCCTGGAGCCTACTTTCCCCACTTTGCCGCACATTTGTGCTCATATCTCGTCCAATTTTCCTACCTGTGCTATCTATCGGCACATTGTTCGAGTGTTGCGCTGATTAATGCGTGTTAGTGGCGAAAAAAGTGACAAGTGGTCAAAAATGCAGCGGAAAAAATGTCACCAAAAGGCAACTGTTGCCGAAAAGCCATCAGAAATCTCCAATGACCCATTTAGGGGTGGCACAAGAGAAGAGAAGAGTGTGCAACTAAAATGTAAAACACTCGACAATCAGCGTGAAAAGGGGAGCAGATATAAAATTACTGTCGTATCTCGAATAATTGTATTGCCTGTGCATTTTCTCTTGCATTCGCCCATATATATTGAAAAGCCACCCCCATTTCAATGATGCCAAATGATAATTGCTCGTGGGCAAATGTGCTGATGGCGGGAGCTTTTTTACCCAGCGGACGAGAGAGCTTTTTGCATAGAATAGAACAAAGCGTGGCGATGCTTTCAGGCACGCTTGCAATTGTTGCAATTTCACTTCGTCAATTTTCATCCCTTTGTTCACGCCAGTTCGCACTACCCCAGAAAACCTCGTGGCATTCGGAATGTTGGAGGTTGCTACATTTTTATCATCACTCCGATTATCGCTGCAGAGTGTCTCACTTATGCAAATAGCGAGAGGCGCAATTTCTTCCTTTTTCGCAGGTAGAATGAGAAAGTCATCGAAGGCGAGAATTGACTAAGTTTCGCCCGGGATAAATCTCTCTTTCCCTTTCTCACCCTCTTAAGAGAATGTGTTGGGAAAAAGTTTTGCAATACAATTTTCTCTATGACAGAATCCGCCGTGATTCACGACTGAAGGTGGGTGAAATTTATCGCGACGCGAAGATGAAATTGGAAAAATGACGGGAACTCATTATTCAAATAGATTGATTGCATTGTCAACGAATAAAAGTTAATAATTTCATGAGATAATAACTTCTTGAAACTTTTATATTCTCAGTACAATAATCGACTGAACTATAAGTTTCTGAACATGTCTGAGATGCAGTTAAGATCATAGTTTGTAGAATGTTGTGAAATTTTACGCAAATAAGAGCTTAATTTTTGGCGCTCTATGATAATTAGCATTTTAGCACATCAATTCTTATGCTCAAGTCACAAAGATTGCTAATCATAATTTTAATAATTTTACAAATTTTCCATTTTATTCTCAAAGCTTTTCAGATTTGCAAGTCGAAGGCAGGTGAAAATAAACAACAAGCAACTTGGACAGCAAATTCACCAATTAAGACACCTTAGCGTATTAAATTGCGCAGTTCTGCCCAATTTATTCAAGTTTGTAATGAAAGATTCTTCCTCCCAATTACCATTTAAATTCATTTTCGTCCTCAGCGGTCCAAATGTGACTCCTCGGACGTGAATTTGCCAAAAGTGTAATCACACTCTTTATAGT